TCTTGCTCCCCATCTCCTTCCTTCCCTTCTTTAATCATGGACTCCTTTAATTCTCTGAATATATCTGAGTGACTTTGAAGGCTTTGAGTGTTAAGTCCGACATTTGGTCACTGTCACACAAAGTTTTAGTTTTGGTCTTCTTCCTAGTGCTGCATACATCACAAACATCTGCTGAAACTTGGACATTTTCGGTGATGTATTTTAGTATCTTTGGGTGCTGGTCCTCCCCTATCGGCTTATTATTTGCTTGCTTGTTAGTAAGAAGCTAACTAATGAAGCTTCCCCACTCCCTGCCTCCAGGGGAGGGACACCTTCTGGAGTTCAGACACCCTGTGATGGCAGCAGTTCTATCAGCGCTTTCTTTCAAAGTCTTTTTCCCTGACCACACCCAGCTGTTGAACACCATCATTTCCAGCTGATTGCTCTACTGATCTCAAAAATACCACAGCACAAATTGTTCCACAGACTAAACTAGTCAAATTTGGACTCCTTTGAAGGAATAGTTCCAAAGTCATTAAGTTATTCTGATCCCAGCCTTTTTTTGCCCCTTTTCTTTTTGGCAAAGTAGCCAGCCCATGGTTCAGCCTATACGCCCAACAAAATTGCTGGTCTTCCTTAGCTTTTTACCACAGCCTCCACTTTTACCACAGCTCTGAGAGCATTCTTAGGCTTGAACTCTCTGCAAGCCTTTCAGTGAAGATACTTCCTTTGGGAAGAAGTTAGGTGCTCTCTCTTCTCTGGTTTGCTTCTCTTGTGTGTCAGAAATTGAGTTGGTGTACAGGCAGTGGCATGCTTGAGTGACAGCCTTGCTCTAAGCTGATGCTAGGTGAGGAGGGGTGGCAGAGTCTTAGGTCCTCTCAGCTTGCCCCTTCCTTCATGAAAATCACTTTATATGCAGGGCCAATGACATCAGTGATGAGGGGACAAAGGCACACACCATACTGCCACCTGCAGCAGCCTGAGGGGTTCCCTTAATCTTTTAGGGATCTCAACTTAGGAAAACCCAAGATTCATGACTTCAACACAGAAAAGAATTTCAGAATAATTATGAAGACCAGCACCCATGTAAAAAATTGATTTGGAAGCTGGTGGGATGGCTTGGCTGGTGGGGCACTTGTCACCTGTTCCCCAGGACCTACAGGGTAAAAGGAGGGAACCTACTCCCTTAAGCTGTCCTCAGGTGTCCACATGCATGCTGTGGTACATGTGTGCCCACACACAGGATAAATAAGTGTAAAGTCTTTTTTTTTTTTTTAATGTTGTATGAATGTATTGCCTGCATGTATGTAAGTGTACCTGTGTCATGCAGTGCCCACAGAAGTCAGAAGAGGGCCTCAGATCCCATGGAGCTGAAGTTACAGACAGTTGTTAGCTGCCATGTGGGAGCTAGGGACCAAACCTGGGTCCTCTGCAACAGCAGTTAGTGCTCGTAACTACTGAGCCATCTCTCCAGCCACTATAGTAAAGTTTTTAAAAAAATAATTTAGAAAGCTGGATATAGGGGCTGGAGAGATGGCTCAGCGGTTAAGAGCACTGACTGCTCTTGCAGAGGACCTGGGTTTGAGTCCCAGCACCCATGGCAGCTGAGCCTGAAAACCATCCTTAACTCCAGTTCCAGGGGAATCCGAAGCCCTCTTCTGACCTCCGCGGCATTGCACAACATGGGTGCACTCACTTACATGCAGGCAATACATTCATACATATAAAATAAAAATAATAAATATTTTTTTAAAAAGCTGGATATGGCTGAACATGCCTTTAATCCTAGTGCTGGGGACTCAGAGACAGGAAGAGCCATGGGACTCACTGATCAGCTCGTTTAGGTTCAGTGTGAGATCTTGTCTCAAAAAATAAGGTGGAGAGGGATTGAAGAAAACATCTGACATTGATCTCTGTCCCACATGCACATGCATACAGATGCCTGCATATTCCCCCCACATGCACATGAACACACACACACACGTACACGCCACCAAAGGTACTAAAGAAGCATGTGTGTGGCCTTCTCAAAGAGCTGTTGTGGTTTATGCAAAGATTGTTTTATTTTGTTTTTTATTTTTTGAGACTGGGTCTCCCTGTGGCCCCAGCTGGTCTGGAATTTGCTATGTAGACTAGGCTGCCCTTAAATCTCACAGAGATCCACCTGCCTCTGCTTCTCAAATTCTGGGATTAAAGGAATGCACTACCACACCTGGATTATGCAAAGATTTTTTTTTTAATTTTTACAAAAACTTTGAGAATTTCATACATGCATATAAGGTGTTTTGATCAAATCCATGCCCATTTGCTCCCTTCCAACATTACCCCCTCTGAAGAGGTAACCCTAAAATCTTTTTCTTTTTTTTAAATTTTTTTTTATTTTTTTGTCTTTTTTTGAGACAGGGTCCTCGTGTACCCCCTGCTGTCCTGGAACTCACTTGGTACTCCGGCCCGGCCTTGAACTGAGAGCCCCGCCTGCCTCTGCCTCCTGAGTGCTGGGATTAAGGATTAGATACAAGCTCCCAAATACTTTTGACATTTTTGGCCTTTGGAACACAGTATGTTGCTAACAGGCCCAAGGACATTTTGACTTTTAGCGGAGAAACTGGCTACAGTTCTTTGGGGGTCTTTTTACCCTAACTGCCTAGCCAATACCTACCTCTTATTCTTATCATGCCATCCTCTGAAGGGGTCAAGGGGTCACCCAAATTGCCAATAGAGAATAGGGATGCAGACTGCTCTGGCTTCTTCCATGCATGGGGTCAAGGGGTCACCCAAATTGCCAATAGAGAATAGGGATGCAGACTGCTCTGGCGTCTTCCATGCTGAACAGGGACATAGTGTGAGGCAATTGGAGTACCCCTTGAGTGGGTCTATCGAAACTCCCAAATTGCATAACTGTTGTCTCTTAGGGGAGAAGAAAGTACTTGAATCATGAATAGATGTGAAGGAGAAATAAAGGCAAGAATAATTAGCATTACAAGTTCTAGACAGGGAACTAGAAAAATGTCAGAACAGGGCAATTTTCAAATGTTCATGAGAGTCCATTGGAGTTTCCTGACAAGGGCTTCCAAAAGCATCCCTCTTATTGGGTTCTTCCTCATTTTTCTGCAAAGATATTTTTAACATAGATTTTAAGCAAGATGATTAAAACAGAGATGCTTAAGGAAAGAGAAAACATGCCCAAGTGTGGGTGTGGGCTACTTAAGGTAGAATCTGTCCAAGAAGTATCTTAGCTTTTAGTTATGTATCTCTCAAATTACATCTCAAAAGGCTGCTAAGAAACTTTTTTTTAACCTTTTCTTTCTTGCTTTGATAAGTAAGGTTTGAGGGTAGCTCTGGAGGTGCCTTGGAGAGTATTATAATGTGTAAGGTAAAACCAGGTTGCACAAGAGGTTTCTGGTGAGAGTTCTAGAAAATGGTGGGTTTCCAGCTGGGAAGGGAGAAAGGCCTTAAGCAGATGTTACCTGTGCTGGATTTTTGCTTCTTGCTGGTGAGAGGCTTCAGTTAGACTCCAGGGCCAGCAGCTCCTTTTCTTTCTCTTGTGTAACTTTTTCTCTGTTCTCCTCTCCCACCTCACCTAGGCCCGGGTCCTCCAGCATGCTATGCTGACTCAGCCTCCATCTGGAGTGTGGCGAGGGGGAGATGGGAGCCTCCACACTTTGTAATCATGGGACTTAGCCTTTGGAACACATAAAGGGTACAGACTGTGAAATGCTGGCGTCCTGCCCCTGGGAAGGTAGCCTCAAGTGAGACTGGGGAGGAGCCCTGTGTTCCTGGCTGTTCCAGGCTGTGGTTGGAGAGGGGTGATCTTAGTACAGATACCAAATTCTGCAGTTCCTCCTGCATTCTAGTAGCTGTTCTGGGTAAATGTTGGTTTTTTTCCTGCTTTTTTTCTTTTCCTCTATGGCCTTGGGACTGTGAGTAGTTCTGCTGGAGTACAGGCCCTCTGAAGCTCCTCATTCTGTCCTCATTTTTCTGGATAAAATGTATCTAAGTACTGTGAGTCTTCCTCCATTCATGGTATTTGAGTTTCTCATGGATTACAATGTGAAATACTTATATTGTAATATTTCAGAAAAATCTAATTCCCTTTCAGCCAAAGTGTTTTGTTGAAGGCTTTAATATTTATAGGTGAAAGAATTTTTTTTGTTTTTTGGCCTTCATTCTAAAATTAATTTTATTACACTAACCAAAGCATGTTGTCATATCTCTACTTCATGAACATACTGTTTTATGACATTAATATCAATTTTTGTGAATTTTCAACATGCTTGAAAAGATCTGTTTCTAATACCAGGATTTGCATATATCCAAAAAATTACTATTTGGATCTTTTGTGCTATGTAGACCAGGTTGGCCTCAGTCTTACAGAGATGAGCCTGCCTCTGCCTCCCAAGTGCTGGGATTAAAGGCCTGTGCCACCTCTCCTGGCTGCTTGCTATCTCTTACTCAGCATGGTAGGTCTGTTTCTGTTTCTTGCACGTGTCTTGGCATTTCTGTTTGACATAGGTAGATGCTTATTTTGTGCACAGCTATTTATAACTATTTATCTATCTTTGTTATGAAAATGTGACCATTTTGATCTAAATCCTCCCTAATCAGAAATAGTACATAAACATAAATATTATTGTTGGTTAAAAATTATGTTAATGAGCTGGGCATGGTGGTGCACGCCTTTAATCCCAGCACTCAGGAGGCAGAGTCAGGCAGATCTCTGTGAGTTCAAGGCCAGCCTGGTCTACATAGTGAGTTCCAGGACAGCTGGGGCTACAGGGAGACCTTGTCTCAAAAA